GTTGTTGTTCTAATTATTCAAATGCAGTATTAATATCCTAAAAATATTTTATCAACAAGGGCATGTTTGATTGATGGGATCCGGTTCCCGATCCCGATCTTGGATCACTCGGATCCTCCCAGCTCCAATCGAATGATGGCTAGCACAGTTGGTCGTCGTAATGATGACGTACAAAAATGGCGATTGAAAGTTGCCAAGGTTGTCAAGGTACCGGTCAATTTTTGTAATAAATTTTGAAATTCAAATCTAAACGCGTGAGCTAGCAGGGTTCTGCGATCATGTTTCCGCCTCCATAATAGGACCATTTCAAGTCCATAAAAAGCCACTGTTCCACTTCCATTCCATTCCACGTGTAGCTTGTGAAGTTAGCTGTTGTTCTCCTGCCTCGTGAGGTCTTGTGCAGTTCCATTTTTCGGTAGCAAGCATCATGGACGAAGGAGATAATGAGATTTGCCGACGGAAAATCTGTGTCGTAGTTGGCATTGTAGCTGTGGTAGTTCCCAGAATCCTGCAAAGTGAGGAGATACCGTCTGATTTGTTTGATGAGATTTGTGTACTGTCCCACCAACCTGGCCTCAATGGAAATTGTATGCACAAAGCTATCCCAGTCTGTCCACATAGCTGTGCAGGGCAATGGAGGTCGGAAGCCTATACCCGTGCGCAAGCAACTTTTGGTTACTCTTTGGTGGCTTGGCAGTAAGAGCACCATCAGAGAGGTGGCAGACAAGTTTGGTCTATCCAAATCGACAGTATGGCACAGCGTACGGCGTGTGTGTTTTGCCTTGCAGGACATGGCTCCGTTATTGATATGTTGGCCCCAGGGGCAAGGTGCAGAGAGGACGCAAGCAGAATTTCATTCAGCTCAGCACATCCACGGCGTCATGGGGGCGATTGATGGTTGCCATATCCCGATTGCAGCACCAAATGAGGCACCTGAGACATACCTGAACAGGAAAAATTTCATTCCGTTATTCTACAAGCAGTCTGCGACAGGAACCTGCTATTTACGGATGCGTATTGTGGCTGGCCTGGCTCTGTGCATGATGCCAGAGTATTCGAAAACAGTCCCCTGAAGCAGTTGGTCACTGAAGATGCTCGTCGTTTCTTTTCTGGAGAAGCCTTTATCGTTGGAGATTCTGCGTACCCATTACAGCCGAAGCTGATGACTCCCTTCAGGGATGATGGTCACCGCACAGCAAGTCAGACCAATTATAACTTCAGGCACTCGTCAACACGGATGTGTATTGAAAGAGCTTTCGCATTGCTGAAAGGAAGATGGAGGCAACTCAAGTATCTAAATATTGTGAATGTTGAGAACGCCACCCATATCACCATTGCCGCCTGTGTGTTGCACAATATGGCCATCATGCACGAAGACGATGTCGGTGACTTTCTTCAAGACCTACCTGAAGGTGATGTACCTAATCCAACGTAGTATTTTCAACCAAACACCAGTGCCGCAGACAAGCGCAACCGAATTGTTGATCTCATTGCTTAACAGAGGAAGGCAGACTTTCACAATTATTGACTTTCTACTACTCTCTTCGCATAATTCTGCTGTATTTGAGTAGGGTCCTCATTTCTTTCCACACTCTACCTTCCATGCAACTGTTCTCAAATCAAAGCATGTGTGAAAAGCTTTTGGGTGCCAGCTACTGACTGCAGAGAATGGCAAGGAATAGTGTCGTGCAAGTAGGCAGTAGTGTGTGATTGGTAGTCTTCCCTGCCACCCCATGCTTGAACGCAAACCGCGTCACACATACACGCAACCAGAAGATGATACTCGATAATGCGTAGGTAGTACTTTCTCATTATAAGCAGTGAAATAAGCACAAACTCGAGTATCTTGAATGATACATCATTGAGAGAGGGATACATAAAAATTGTAGATGCAAAGTATCATCACCGATTCATTGGTGTGTGTGTGTGTGTATGTGTGTGTGTGTGTGTGTGTGTGTATGTGTGTGTGTGTGTGTGTGTGTGTGTGTGTGTATGTGTGTGTGTGTGTATGTGTGTGTGTGTGTGTGTGTGTGTGTGTGTGTGTGTGTGTGTGTGTATGTATGTGTGTGTATGTGTGTGTGTGTGTGTATGTGTGTGTGTGTGTGTATGTGTGTGTGTGTGTGTGTGTATGTGTGTGTGTGTGTGTGTGTGTGTATGTGTGTGTGTGTGTGTGTGTGTGTGTGTGTATGTATGTGTGTGTATGTGTGTGTGTGTGTGTGTATGTGTGTGTGTGTGTGTGTATGTGTGTGTGTGTGTGTGTGTATGTGTGTGTGTGTGTGTGTGTGTGTGTGTGTGTGTGTGTGTGTATGTGTGTGTGTGTGTGTGTGTGTGTGTATGTGTGTGTGTGTGTGTGTGTATGTATGTGCATGTAGCATTGGATGTTATGTAGAAACACATGCTGTATGCTTCACAAACTCACAATAGATACATACATAAATAGTACTTCGAAGTATGCCTCTACTGCTTTGCAAGCCTATTGACAGCTGCAGTAAGGTCGCCAAGTATTGCCATCTGCTCGTTGTGCTTATGCTCTTGCCAGGTTCTATGTTCACATTTCGTCTGCTTGAGCCATTCCAGGGCGTCACTGGACTGCCCTCCAGACCGCTTTCTCCTCTTCTTTACGCACTTCTCCTCATCATTAGCGGCAGGGGTTGCCACGGCTGCTGATGCACCTGCTGGAGCATTGAGACGGACTGGAGTAGATTGCGGTGTGGTCGGAGCGGATGATACTCTTGCTTCACCATCCTGATCGTCATCCGAATCCGACAATTCAACTGGACGCTTTGGGGGTCTAGTGACAGGAACCAGCATTTTGGGTGGATGTTGGGCTTCCAACCAAACGTAGAATTCATTTCATCATAGAAAGCAGGCGGCTGTTTACGGTCAGCCCCAGTTTTTTGCTGCGAATCCACATAAGCTTTGTACGCTTTCATCAGTTTTTTCCATCTGTTTTCACATTGTTCTGCAGACGGATGTAGTTCCTCGTCCGGGAATGTTACTGCAATTCGCTGGGAAATCCGGTTCCACACACTCTTTTTCGTCCAGTTGATGTCTTGAAACAAGCCGTCATTTTCAGACCGTGCCGAAATTAGTTCCGGCGTCAGCCGTCTTGTCCACTGAAAGCCAGGCCTACGATCTTGGCCACTGGGCTGAGGGGGCTTTGACGCAAGACTTTCAGCTGCCATTGTCAGGAACGAGAAAGATGAGGGAGATAGTGAATACTAATCGTGCTGAATGCCTTTTATATGCGAGGAAAAGTTGTCCCTCACGTCATTCTCGCCATACTAGGATCATCTCTCCGGTCTGGTCCGGCCATGTTTGCAATTTCGGTGCCAATCTTGGCAATTTGCCGCCCAATGAGCCGCAGTTGTAGAAGCAGTAACAGCAAACATTGGAGTGAGTTGAATTGGAATTGGAAGGAAGCACAAATGGAAGAAAGTGAAAGCTCCACGTGCTGATGGCCCAAGTGAAAAGGGCTCTCACAGGTTCCGTATCTCCATATGTTGAATTTTGCTGTACATGTCGGCTATTTTCCGCCCAATGAGCCGCAGTTGTAGAAGCAGCAACAGCCAAAATTGGAGTGAGTTGAATCGGAACGAAGCATAAACGGACTAATGTGAAACCTCCACGTGTTGATGGCCCGAGTGAAAAGTGCTCCCGATCCCACGGGTTCCGTATCTCCATGTCCATATGTGTTGAATTCCGCTTCAAACGTGGGCTAGTTGCCGCATAATGAGCCGCAGTGGTAGAAGCCGCAATAACAGCCAAAATTGGAGTGAGTTGAATTGGAACGAAGCACAAATGGAAGAAAACGAAACTTCCCCGTCGACTGTTGGTGGCCCGAGGGAAAAGAGCTCCATGGATCCAACGGGTTCCGCATCTCCATATGTTGAATTTCGCTGCCACTCAGGGCTGTTTGCCAGCAAAGGATACGCAATGGTTGAAACGGTAAACCAAAAAATAACAAAGGAATGAAACAACCAAACTTTTGCTGTGCAAGGCGCGAGGAAAGGCATTCCCGCGGGTTGGGTCCCGCCAAATGTGCAGTTGTCGTGGCAAAAAAGGATCCGTTGGTTCGGGCAACCCCGCTACCCGAGGTGGGTTGACGGGATCCAAATCCAAAGGATCCGGATTCGACCAATCGAAAGGGTGCGAATCCAGTGGATCCGGTGGATCGAGATCCCGATCCTACCAAACGAACATGACCTAAGACAGTTTCAAAACTGGTTATCCTCGAAGCCTGTTTTTGTCTTGCTTGTCCGGAGGCATGTACACTTTCGTATGTGCGTAGAATAGTTGCAAACAAGGCGAGGGAACCGGATAATCGAACACACCTACTGTATGTATGCACTGCATATGCTGTAAATCGGTAACCAACGATTTTCTTCCGGATGGCAAGGGACCCGGATAAAAGAGGACCGGATAAGTGAGGTCTGACTGTCCCAGCAATATATTCAAACTTTGGCACTACTTCATGAAAGGAGATTTAGGTTGTGTTTTTGTTTCTGGGAGAAAACATTTCTGAGCTATTCACCCTGCAGACGTAGAATTATGTGATAGTATGGGGCTGAGAGCCTTACCGAGAGTATCATATACATCACCTACAGCGCTGGCTTAGCAGCAAATGAGTTTAAATTTGAGCTTAAATCGACAATGACAAGATACCTCGTCACGCACATGAAGCATGGACCACTGTACAAACTGCGTTACATTCGGTGGTGGAAGAAGTGGCAACATATTAATTTTAGTGTCCTTGCCCAACGCTTGCCGAGCTGACTGGGTGCTGACGTTGGATAAGGAATATCCGATTAGCGATGGACCTGCAGCTTCCACTGATATGGACCATTCAAATCAACACCCACAGTCCGACATGCCCTGATATAATTTTTTAACCGGACTTTCCACTCAATTCAGTGTGTTGTGATGCTGCGAACATTCAAGTGTAGCGAACTGTGAGCGAGTGATGCAATGGAGCCTTTTGTGTTGTCTTTTCTGCGCAGAGCACTGTGCTAATGGCGTTCTGGCCCAGGACCTGAGTTGCAAGTGCAACCGCACTGTCTTCTATGGAGACTACTGTGAAAAGGGTAAGACTGCAGGATAAAACTGTCTAAGTCTGTGTGGATTATACATGTACTACAATGGAAATAACCCGCTGGTGAACGGGGTATACTGCTGTCTATATTTAAGGACCAACAAAATCCGCGTGTGGCTTATACTCAAGGGCAGCTTAATTAATGCCGATTCACAACACCACTTTCTGCGACGCGACTTGCGACAGTTGCAACTAGAAACTGTCTGTCCTGAGCTGTCGCGTACAGTCGCAAGTCACCTGTCGCAGAATTTGAAGAAAGTTCAACTTTTGCGACATGTGATGTTCGACATGCGCAAATGGAGTACAGTTTCTACCCTGGGTGCTCATGCAGTGCACGTGCATAGTACTACTACACGGGTGTTTGCAGTGCATGAACTCTGGCCAGTCGTCCCCGTACTCAAAATGCGTACGCATTCGGATCTACCGTACATATCCTCGTATTTTGGGCGAATCTGAACGGTACGATGCGGTCGAATTGGGCCTGAATTTGCCCTGAACCAGACGCTATCGAAGTAAAATTAGGCATTTTGAAGGCTACACGGGAACGCTGCGGCCATGTCTTCTTTCCTGCGTCTTTTGTTTGAAAATCGGAGCGTTTTTGAGCTCGTAGTTTCGTCTTCGTTGTGGAATGGCCGTGCGTACAGTCTCCTTGGAATTACCAATGTCACACCCCCGTTTATTACATTACTAGGAGTTTGGCCGGCAGCCACGATAGTTTTTATCCCTGGTTCCATATGTCCTTTTATTGAACAGCCAAACGAAACTTTGTGGTGCGGGGGTCTCAAGTTTGTCACTTTGAGTTGTACACAACAACCACATCAACACCTCAAAGAGCCAAAAAACCAAGTGAGCAAAGTATTTCAATGTTTCGCTTTTGCCTGGCCTGCTGTGAAGATGGAGACTTCTACTCGGTAGCAGATACTCGTATCAATAAGCTGGGAGGGAGAGCGTGGCCAGTAAAATGTTAGGATAAAAAGAGCCACATTCTCTCTCGGAAAAGGTCGTCGTTCCAACACACTGGCTCTACCCAGATCTGTAGTAGGCTAGATTTTGCATGCACGTGCGAGATTTGCATCCGTCGCGCACATAGCCAGAGTCGAAATTTTTGTACTCTCGGATTTGCTGCCATCTTGACGAGTGGCCTCTGCACACTAGTGCATAAGGATTTCGCATACATGAAAAAAAGATTGTGAACTGTGTGTCGCTGTCACGGCTTGTCGCAGCTCGTCGCAGGTGTCACAAGTCGCATGTCGCGTTGCTAGAAGTTGTATTGTGAATCGGCCTTTATACTCGAATGTGGATTTTACTCTGGAAAATACTGTTCATGACCAGGTGCTGATGTCACGACCGTATTTCCACACCCAGATTTTTTTGCCACGAAATGCAGCTACCTACCCTATAGTTTGGAAGGATGCACATCATTGTGAACCTGATGAAGGCAATTTGCCGAAACGTTGGAATAATTGTTGTGAAATGAGTTGAACTATTGCAGTGTTAATGGAAGAGAGCGTGTGGGCTCTACTCTCAACTGTTTATGAAAATGCAGGAAGCCTCCCCACTTTTACTGCCCTATCTATCGCCGTTAATTAATTTGACGCAGAATAGGCCTCGCCCCTAATTTTTTGGGGTTGAACTAGTGATGTGTGGCTTTTATACTCTGGGAAATCTGGTGCTTGGACAGTCTGGCTCAACCGCTGGTAACTTGTTTGTGGTTCAATTGCTCCCTTCATGCTTCTCATTGCATAGCATGCCGTGATGCTTTTCCTTGCCATTCCCTGCTCTTGTTGCGCATGCATGAACATATCGTATCTCTACAGATGGCTGCAAGTGCTTGAACCAGGGTCAGTGTGACAACGAGGGTAAATGCATCTGCCCGACAAGATTCTACGGAGAACATTGCCAACTCGGTAGGTAGCAAGATATTCATTTTTGTCAATGCAAACAGTTATTTTGACTCATTGCATATAAGGCTGAGGTTGTGATCGTTTCTTCATACCCTGATCCAGATCCAGACCCACTACTACTATTATCATTCCGTTTGAATGTGGTGGATCTCCCCAAAGTGCACCTGGGGTGTTGTGTAATCTGGATGTTTAAAAAAACTGCTTTGACGTGTTGCACCCGATGATGATCATGAATCATGTACTAACCATGCTGTGCTGTTCTGTTGCTATTTTTGTTGTGCACTGAAACAATATGTACGTCATGCACTGCACACAATAACTGCTGCAGAGTGCAGAACATGTCTGAACCAGGGTCGCTGTAATGAAGACGGCACCTGCACCTGCGCTGAAGGATGGATTGGTGACCGGTGCCAGACTGGTAAGTGTCTACTTAATGAAGCGAATACGCTGCATTCCTTCGGCGTGCGTACTGCATGTTGCAGTTACATTTCTTTCGCTTTGTAAATCTATGTCCAGTGAAAGTAATGCCATGTGTTCGGATTGCAGTCCGCATTTTAAACACTCCTAATTTACACCCCCAAAAAATAAAAGGTCTGTGCTGCTCACACTCCAGTGGTTAAAATTAATGCACCACGATGTAAAGGGTCAATGGGTATAATCTGGGCACGGATAATACTCAGGTACGGCGATTCCTCTGGAAAGTATGGTACATTGTAGTAGTTGATTTGCCTGTCGTCGGTTGGACTAGTTGAGCCAACTTGCATGCATGAACGGCGGTCATCGGCTCCAGCAACTTCTGGTCTCCTGGCTTGTTGCAAAATGCCCATTTTGTGTCACCCGGGAAACATAAGCGGGACTTGATCACAGCGGATTTTGAGAAGTGGAGTGTCCCTGCCTCATTAATATCATCAAGAGTCCATAATCCCGCAGAGTGCGCAATTAGGATGGGGTTGTGGGACGGCGTAATCCGTGATTTACGTCATGTTTGGGTCGGACTTGCGTCATTTCGTCGACGCGGTCAACCACGGTTCACACTTTCCCTACTCATGATGTCACACTATGACGTTCAACACGCATTTCGTCCCAGATCTGATCAGTGAAGTTGCGCACTCTGGAGGATTATGGATTCTTGATATAATGGTTTGACCTTGCTTGCAGCCGCCGTGAATGGTTTGTCGATGATGTAAGCCGAGTAGATTTATGTCAGGGAAATGCAAATTTTCTACTCCACTGGCCGAGTGGAGTGAAGAAATTAAGCTTTCCCCAGTGGTCACTAGAACAGGTTGGAACTACAGGCACACTACATCGTCTGATGTGAGTTTTCGCCATCACCAGACCCCATAGAACGGGTAGCCAGGCCGTTGTAGATGTTGGATGGGATGTGTTCTGGTCCAATGGATTGAAATAATCAGCTCCTACTCAAACCCATCCAGCATCTCGACAAAAAGAACAGTATTGGCCGTGGATTTACAAGCCAAAAGTCTGCTCCATCTGTCATGCCGTGCCCCTCAAAGACTGTGAAAGTCCCTAAATAGTACCTCACATCTTTTTTTTCTCGATGTCTGCTGCGGGCATAATTTGCATGCTGCACACGTTTTTCTTTGGGACGTTCGTAGACTGATTTCTTACTGTTATGCCAATGTCTGGCATACTGACCAATGTTGTTGTTGTGTGTTGGTTTAATGTAGGGTGTGCGGACACGGACCCATGCTGCGTGAACAAGCGCATCGTGACACGCCGGGATCAGGTCTGCCGTGCCGCCACCAGCGACTGTGACGTGGCAGAGTACTGCGACGGCGAGAATGCCACATGTCCACAGGACCTGACCGCACGCAACGGCTGGCCTTGCTCCAATAGTCAAGCATCCTGCTGGAGTGGAGTTTGCCAATCACGAACTGGCCAGTGTCAGAGTGTCTGGAACGATATGGATCAAGGGTCAGCTCCTGAGGATTGCTTCGCGATCATGAACGTTTTTGGAGAACGTACGGGTAACTGTGGTTTCAAATCGTCCAATTCCACCCCAGGAACCTATGCAGCCTGTGCGGCTGGAGATGCCCTATGTGGTAGTTTGTTCTGCCTTCCACTTGCTCGAAAGAACCAACCCAGTAGTGATGTTCTGTCAAAAACCGTTCCCGTACGCGGTGATGGCGGTATAATCAGGTGCAATGGTTTGTACGCGTCCCCGCCAAGAAGCCACGATGACCCATCGCTCGTGAAGGACGGAACACGCTGTGATGCCAGCGGCGCTAACAAGGACCTCGTGTGCCACAAGCAACGCTGCGTGGACCAGTCTCGAGTCACCAGTCAGTGTTCGGTCGATGCTGACAGCGGCAAAGAGTGTGGTGGAGTCGGTGTCTGTACAAATGTAACAACCTGCCTTTACCCACCCACACCTGGTAAGTTTTTGTTTTCACTGAATACCACAGAACCATCAGATGCTGCACAGCGGGGGCGGTGGCATATTGGATGGAAGTGGGGGTGGGGCAAAAGTAACTCCTCAAACGAAAGGTCTCGGAATCATCGTTACTAACTTACCAACCTAGTGGGCGTTTTCAATTCATTTTTAGTTTCTGTACGTCCACGGTGCGTTTGGTTGGTACGATCTAGAACAGGATCGAACAGCTTGTGCACATGGCGCAGCCCCATGCCAACTACACGGTACTCCAGAAACAGAGCACATTTTTGTGAAAAATATGCCAAACTTAGTACATACTTCAAAATGTGTATGTGTCACCATGGTGACTGTGTACAGTACGAAGAGTCCAACTCCAAAGCGTGTGCACGTGATCATTTGGGACCAAAATCGATGTTCCCGCCAGGCTTCACAGTGAAAAAGTGAAACTGCTCGGTTTGCTCCGGCCTTGAGGCCGGAGCGAGCAGAACATGTTCTGGCCGACCCAGAACAGGTGCAGTGCCAACCAAACGCGCTGTTCTGGTGAATCCTGTTCTAGGTCGTACCAACCAAATGCGCCCCCAGTTGGCATATGGATGCGATGTGCTACAGATCTTGGCTCTCAAACTATTGCTCTTACATGCAAAGTACAAGCAACAAAATAGCCGTCACGCCTTTTTTTAGAGCTGCCTTACTGCGTGTGAGCAAAACTCTGTATCCTCCAACCAAAATTTTCATCGGCTCACGTACTCAACGTAGAATGGTCATTCAAAGTCCTCAGATTCCTGAGGCTCAAGCTATTCTGACCTCTACTTTGCACGAGCCATGCAACCATGACCTACAGGGAACGTCCCCTTTCTTGGGCATGCTGTTCACAGACGGGCTCGCCTCACACGCAATTTGTAAAAAAATGGTTGTATCTGTGGTTCGCTCTTTCGTGCTATTACTGTCCTCGCAATTGGAACAGGCTCGGCCAAAAGCGGTATGGTTGCCAGGTATACTAACCACTGAGCTATGGATATGGTTACGTGTAGACACACGGAATTCGCAAAACAACTTCGTAGCACGTCCTGTGGTACTGCGCTGTAGGACTGTTTGTCAGGATGGTTCATGTGCAGTGCGAGCGCAGAAGGACCGGAAGTTGTGTGCGGATTGGATCACGTTTTCCAGTTTGAATTTTCTTCACATCGCGGATGTTCGAGCTGGGAAGGCAGAAGAACAGAGGTTCGAATATTCAGGGATTTTCAGCCCTAACGCAAACCCAGATTTTGCAATTTCACAAGAGTTTTAAAAGCCTCAGTACAGCTCCTGAAAAGAGTTTTTTGAGTAATAATGATACGGTGGCGAAGACATACCTTTAATAACCAGAGAAATGGTGGTAGCTACTAGTTACTAGCAAGAGTAGATAAACAAGAGTGCGCAACTCCGGATCTCTCCTGCACAATCTGCAAATACCCCCGCCCACTGCAGAATTTTTGTGGGCGTCACCTTTTTTCAGAGAAACGCGCATTTTGCCGCAGAGCAGTGCAGAGTAGGCAAAGCCCGATTTTGCCAGTGAAGCTTCGATATTTTGCCGCAACATTTTGCTTTCTCATCGTTAATATTTTGCTTTCATTTGCCAGGCCACTCGATATTTTGCTCCCTTTTGCCCCAAAAAATAAATTGTGTCACATGTGGGAAAAGTGACCGAAAGTGGATCAAGTGTGGGCAAAAATGAGAAAAAGTGAGTCACGTTTTGCTAAAACTGTGCGAAATTGAGTCACATGCACCTTGTAAGTGTAAAATCTTCAAATTTCCAGCGAACACACCGATATTTTGCTCCGTTTTGCTAGCAAATTCCCTTTCAGAATTCTTCGATATTTTGCTAGCATAATTGCTAGCAAAATCGGGCTATGCCTAGTCTGGGGCACGTGCTTGGCACTGGGCTTGTAGTGTAAGTCCGGCCAAGAGCACGAGGGAAAACTTTCCGAAAGACTCGCAGCGCGAGCGTCGTCGAAAAGATTACGTCAACAAAAAATCTGCCGTGGGCCTACCCATCCGCGAGTTGCACACACTTGTTTATGTACTCTTGATGGCAAGCGGACCGAGCTCGGGACAACCTTCCGGGTTTTGAGCTGACTGCATAGACAGAAGCACCGGTGACCTCAGAGTTGAGGAAATTCCTAATTTGCGTTTCCATCTGTATCGTAACTTGTTAGGGCCCGGTCACACATGCACTCGGAAGTAGTGGATCCACTGAAGCGACGTCGCAGGAGCGAACAATTCCATGGCAACGGCGAAAAGCAGAACTTCCGCCTCAGTGGAAACTCCAACCCGCTTCCTCAAAAATTTTCGAACCAAGACTGTCGCTTCTGCGGTTTCGCTTCAGCGGAAAGCACCACGGTCTGCTGTATAAGGACTTACTACAAGAAATTTTTATGCGTATGATGCTCATGCAATAAAATGCGTGCAAGATGGTCATTGACCTCGTCTATTGTCCGTACCGTATGCACCAGAGCCCACTTTACTCTCATTTTCCGCCGAAGTAGGAGTTTTCCCTGTTTGTATGCGTGACCATACACACGTGGTTTTGCTGGAGCGACACCAGGCTCGCTGTTGCAGAACCTCCAAGCTGAAGCGAACCCCAGTGCATGTGGGACCGGGCCCTAAGTGTTCCCCTTTCAAATATCACCCTGAGCACTATGAGTGCAGGAGAGCAATATGGAACAAAAAAAGTGAAGATCTAAAGTCAAAATGTTGGTGGGTTTCCATAGTAATTTTTGAAATCAGATTTTGCGAAGAGGGGATGGTATGCCGTTGTCTGCTTTGCTAAGATGCTTGTGTGTGCGTCCTCTCTGTTTCTCCGCAACAGAGAGCAACGAGTCCGCTAACACTACCCAGGCTGCTACACCCACGACCAGTTACTCAATAACCAAACAAAAGAGCGACCCGGCCACAACTACTCCAACTGAAGTCGTCTAATAGAGTGACGGTGATGAACAGTGCAGTGCATGAAGTGTCAGTAATTGTAACTAGTTACTCATAAACCGGGGGGAATACTACCGACAGGACTAACCTGGTGCCCTTCCACTTACCCACCCATCTTCCATAGCATCCACAATTCGGTCCAGGAAACTCGACAGGCACATGCAGTCGGTGTTACTCCAACGGAACGTTTCCAGGACGTGAAGAGCCCCTGCTAACCAAGTGTGTTTCCAGTCCTGATAATTTCCTCCGATTGTAAATTTCAAATCTGCAATTTCAGATCAGTGAAAATCTGAGGCAGACTGATATCCCATAACATGCTACGGCAGAGTAATTATGTCGTATTTTAATTAGTAATTATGCATCTATTATTTGCAAGATGATGAGGGCAATAATAGATTGATCCCGACATAGCATACCTTAACTGGTTTAGCTTTGTTCTTGTGTATTGTACTAGCACATAGTATATACATAAGTCGTCTACATTACTTCTCTATAAACAGATGTTCTCAGTTGTTACTTAGTCTTTTAATGTGTTCCCCAAGTTCTTTGACTGAGAATCTGGCAGTTTGGGCTCAAGTCAGTTGGCTCCAGTTTTTTCTTTTTTCATTTCTAACTCTTGTTTCTAGGGGTGCGTTCTTAAATCCTCTCGGAAAAGTTGGAGACTCTCCGAAAAGTTCGAGAGCTGTTCTTATATCCTCTCCGAATTTTAGAAGGCTCTCCAAAGCTCTCCAAGCTCTCCAAGCTTCAGAGGTGGTTGAAACTTGGAGATTCTTGCGGTTTGGGATCAGCGCATGCGAACTAGGCTAAAAGCCACGTGTTGATCATGAGTGTACGCATTTCCCTTTTCGCATACGCACATCGCATACTATATTCGCGGCACTCAAGATCGCGGCCCCTTTGGCGCTTCATTTTGCTTGACATCTGCAAAATATCTCCGAATTCTTCGAGACCCGTTCTTGAAGAATCCCAGTTTCTTCGACTTCTCTTTTCTTCTTCTCCTAGAAGCTAGAGAATTTAAGAACGCACCCTAAGTTGAGGAAAAGTTCTCAATCTTCGGACTTAAGCGGGATTCACAGAAGCTTTTTTGCGATGCGACACGCGATGCGACAGCCGCGAAACCGGGAAATCCCCAAATCGCAACCATCGCGGACCCCACGCAACTGCCGCAACAGGGCCATCGCAGGCCATCGCAGAAGTTGAGCTTGGCTCAACTTTTGCGATGCGATGCGATGCGACAAGCGATTTGGTGTACGATTTTGACCTTTTCTACAGCAAAGTTGTACAAAGGTGCAAGAGTTGCCTTGAAATTTTTACAAGTTGTGTCAAACCGCGCGAATATCATGGTGACGTACCCAAATCAGCAAAACTTTGTCGCATCGCTGACTTCTTCTGTGAATGGTATTTCGCGAGTTCGCATCGCCCGCATCCATCGCAGATCGCGTCGCATCGCGTGTCGCATCGCAAAAAAGCTTCTGTGAATCCCGCTTTAAGCTCTGGTCACAACTGGGGCGTGTACGCGTGAAACCACGCGTTTGTGCGTATTTTTGCTGGCTTTTGGTGCGCCATGAGTAGTAAAGGACGAGCGGGTTCTGTGCCAGGGGGCGCCCGGGTCCCAAAAAATGGGGTATTATTGAAAAATGGGGTACTAATAGTACCCCATTTTTGCGGTGAAAATTATTTTTGGCCCGGTTTTTTTGCGGATAAAATATGGGGGTATTATTGAAAAATATGTATTGGGGTGTTATGCTCTACCCTAAACAATAAGGTAATATGGTGTCATGATTATGTAAGTATAAAAGGTGTGTTCTTGAATGATGATCCAGTCAGTTTCAAGTTGTTGTGGTGCAGTGAAAATGGATTCTGAATTTGAGATCCTGTATGCTTATGTACGTTCAAAGAAGCAATGTGCGCTGGAGGAAAAGAAGAAGAAGAAGAAGAAGAAGGAGATAGAGGAAAGTGAAGAAGTGTGTTATCATCGTGAAGAACAAGTTGAGCATGCTGGTCATAGAGTTTGTTCTCAGTGTGGATTGGTAATGGCTGACATTTACATGCCCGAGGTAAAGTGGAGAGAGCGTTGTACTAGCATAAAGACCTACACGGATTCCGATCGCATTCAAGGTGTGAATCGTCATCTTGTACATTTTCTCAACAAGATCGACTTCACTTTACCGCATGCACAGTTTCACCCTGTTCAAGAGGCACTGCAAGCAATGAAGAAGTCCAGCAGCTATAAAAGCATGAACTATGCAATAGCATTATCGTGTATACTTCATGAGGATCATGATGCAGTGCGCACACTGCGTTCTCCTTTACCGCGCAGTAATGTATCATGGTTGAGAAGCAGCCGCATTACACAACCTCTTCCATCATGTTTTCCACTGATGTTTCTTCTACATCTCATGGAACACATCAAGGGTCCTCTGTCCGCTAGACAGCTGAACACTCTGAAAGTTAATTTGTCCTTGATGTCACCTGCAGACCTGTCCATGATGCATCTTCTAATAGATACCTATTGTTGGCATGACTACAGTCTGGAATATTTAGTAGATCACGTGACCTCTCTCCCACCTGATCTTGCCAACATACTCTATCAATTTACCAAGACTGCAGTACGTCATCAATGTTAGCAATGCGTTGGAGATTTACACTCTCGGGAACCTGTTCTGAGACATGGTCGAGACACGTTCAGTCATGACCGAGACATGTTCCGACAGGTCAAGTGCAAGTCGTACTGTGATTGGTTAAATCTTATCATCTGCTCACCGTGTCCTCTGATTGGTTGATTCTTGAACAATTTCACCGTGTTCTCCAAGGTCGTCACCTCCCATAGGATGTTATTTCAAACTCGGCGGCGGTCAAAAGGGTATATATGTGCAAGCACAGTCCTCCATTCACTCACAACTGCCTTTGTTGTTTCGTTGCTCAAGCCTTCTCTCTCTCTCTCTCCCTCTGGATCTCACTGGATCTCTCGTGACTGATATCATGATGGCCACTGATGCTGTTGTTGCTGGTGAAGATGTTGTGGACTGTTTGGGTATTGACCCGTTCGCTATCAAGACGATAAAGAAACCCGGTCTCTACAAGCGACGTGCTAGCCGTAATCCGAATCTGGAGCCTCTGCCTAAGATGAAGATGCCATCTCCTCGTCCTACCATACTACCAGGTGTCGCCACCATTATTACGGATGGGGCAGCAGAGTGTGTTCAAGCAATGTACAGCAAGACCGCCCACGACTATCATGTTGCTCCTGGCACCGATTTCTACTATACGCGCGGTGATTTACCGGGCATGCTTGTCAATGGCACGGTATGTGAAGGACGCTTTGGTCAACTTAAGCTGTACGTCCAGGCTTCACAAGACGATCTCATTCAATTCTTCCTGAAGACCTCAACACCTTTGAGACGTGCCGTGAGATCTCCACATATCAACAGGATACGGAGTAACATCTTCCCTGCAATGTACCAAGGGAAGAGTGTGACTGCTTTGTATCTCAAGCCAACCAAGGGTGTGCCCAACTTCCCGATGAACGAAGAGTGTCAGCTCTATCTGCATCCTTCCACTATATCTTTCAACAGGGAGAAGTGCGAATTCAAGGCATGGCTTTCGGCAATCCCCCTGATGTTTGTAGACTCACGGCTTTGTGAAAGGGATCACGACACTGTGCAAGACCTTCCCGAGGCTGAATTGACTCGACTGGTGATTGCATTCCTCAAGAAGTGGAGCACTGCTGACAACGTGACTGCTGACATTGCGTTTGACACAACGGTGGCGGCGGCAGCGTCTCTCCCTGACACCCTACCGGACAATTCACTGGACTTGAATCTGCTAAATGCTTAGTCTATCTTACCACATTGATTGATCAGAAAGACTTTATATCCTAACCCCTTTTTTTTTTTTTTTTTTTTTTTTCATGCTCTCTCACTCTCTCTCTCTCTCTCTCTCTCTCTCTCTTGCTAACATATCATCGCTTCATTAGATTACCACTAGCACACATGAGTATCATAATGATTTATTTGAGAAAGAAAATATTTCCTATCATAATTAGAACAGTGTGTGTGTGTGTGTGTGTGTGTGTGTGTGTGTGTGTGTGAAGATGGCGTACTGGGCTACGCATTTCCATAGGAGTGATGGGGAGGAGACTTCCCTCAAGCACATGCAAAGCATGCGGAATGATATTACCGAAATACAATCAGTTGTGGGGAACGATGACACCGAAAACACCTTGGTTCATGATGTGGAGAAACTGAAAGAGGTGAAAGCCGATGAGAGCAAAGTGGAAGATGTGGAAAACAGATCTACGCGCTACACAGATCAAGCCATAGCAGCTGATGAGCTGCACGTGAAAACAGATGGATCCGTGTCCATGGATGCTAACCTCAACATGAACGAGCATTCCATCTGTAATTTGGCGTACGATGATAGTTCTTTGACATGTGCTGTCCCTGCCGGTTGGGTCAAGAATGAAATCCAACAAGCATCATCGAGATTGCAAACTGGTATGGACACTGTGCGCAAGATGAAAGGACCTCGTGGTGATCGGGGATTGGGATGGCTTAGCGGAGGTGGCATGCCATTGAACTCTGTAGGGAGAAATGGTGACTTCTATCTCGATGCAACCACGCTCATCGTGTACAAGAAATTCAGCTCGAAATGGAAGGCGTTTGGTCGGCTTCATGGATCAAGAGGTGAAGCTGGTCCACGTGGAGAACGTGGATTGATCGGTCCTGAAGGTGAGACTGGACCTAGAGGAGCTGATGGGCAAGGTGGTGAACGCAATCAAAAAGGTGATCAAGGAATACCTGGTCCAGAAGGTCCCAGAGGTGAAGTTGGACCACGTGGAGAACGTGGATTGGTCGGGCCTGAAGGTGAGATTGGACCTAGAGGAGAAGATGGGCAAGACGGCCCACAAGGTGAACGTGGTGTGCAAGGTGATCAAGGAACCACAGGTCCCATGGGTCCCCAAGGAACCATCGGTCCAACCGGTCCTCCAGGCAACAGAGGTCCCGTGGGTCTCCAAGGAATCATCGGCCCCATAGGTCCTCAAGGAACCAGAGGTCCCATGGGTCCGCAATCAAATCAGAACCTATCCGATCCGTTTCATCTACTACCTCTCATTCGGAGAAACGCCTACCTCTACATATACTCTCATCCTAGCAGATTTGAATCCGTCACCAGGGTGAGCAGAAACAGATACAGAGGGATAAATCTCGTTGACATGAAGGACAAGAGAATCAACGTGAACAGCATCGACATGTTCCGAGACGATCACTTCTACCTCAACATTACACAACCCAGCGAAGTTTCCATTAGAGAACGATTCGTCAATCTGTTTCACGACAACATGTCTTTTGCAATGTTCCAAGTAATTCAAGTGGACGCACCTGACCCTAGAAACATGGCATTGAAGGCATTCGATATCGATACTGTCGGAAATTTCAGCTTGGATAGTTTGTACGTGTTGTTCACTGCCACCCACATAAGCGGCAACTACTTCACGCGTCCCGGCCATTCATCATTCAACATACCCGTTTCGTCTGTAGTCAGCCAATTATCGGCGGCTTTGGATAAACCTGTGTCGAG